CATTTATATATTTAGTAATATTTAATTTATTATAAAATAACAATTTTTAACATAATATACAATATTTATTTTATTTTTCATATAATAAAATTTATAAAACAATTTAATACTACCGGTATAATGCCACTGGGGATTTTTTTTCCTAGTGCGGGGATTTTTTTTCCAACTACCATTGTCATAGAACAATATAGAAATTGATTGGGTTTACGTTTACCCATGATTTAAAGATACCTATCTTGGATCCTAATTTACCCGTATTCAAAATATGAGGTTAAAATATATCAATCATAATTTATGAGGTTCTATTGTATATTATATATACAAATAGATGTTGGATTGTACGAGTACCAAATAATGTGGGGGGGGGCATAGGCCCCAAATTTTTTTTTTACACTGATTAAGGCGTTTACCCATGATTTTTTTTAGGACTACATCACTGTATATAAGCATTCACAAAAGAGATGCAAAATAAATGCAATAATTTAACTGTACTAGTCATTATATATATAAATTATAAATAGGTATATAAATATTAATGATCAAAATGTCATGATTTTATATTTATTGTGAAACTTATTATCGAATATGGAAATAGATTATTTTATTTAGACTGGGGCATAGGGTTCCCTGCAGTCTTAAGGCCCTGGTGTTTGACACTCCCACCCCCCTGGTAGTTGCGCTCTGTTTATAAGGCTGGTTGTTGTCCACAGGGGCGAACGCGGTGGGATTACCCCCTACTTAAGGAATGTGACGATACAAACTTTTATTTTTTAAATGAGATCCCCTTTTTCAGAGCAAATCATTTAGTTGGTGATTATTCTGAAATTTTTTATGTATCTAAATCAAAATTCTATGAGTAGTTTCTTGGTTATTAAAATGTTTATACTAAGGAAAAGGATGATAATCCTTAAATATAGTTTTACAAGTATAATCTATACTTATGCTATACTAGAACTAGATATATTATAGGTATTCGTCATATTTAGTTCATATTTACACAGTGGTTAAAGTGGTGGGAGACGTAGTCCTCCTTCTTATTTACGAGAAGATTATGTGTCTCCTTTAATTTTAGTCTCCAAAGTCTAGGGGGACGCTTAACAAGAAATTTATGTTGTGTGTCAATTTTAGTAATTTATTAAATAATAGCTTACACACATACACATATCGATTAATTATCGAATTTTATCGTATTTTTTTGGCGAGAATAATCTCTACGTTTCTGAAGATATTGGAACGCGTGTGATGAGCGATTATTATATAATAAATTATAATGACTAAATTAGTGTAGTGTTGTGTTTAACCTACCTAAACTTTTTTTTTTCCAATGGTATCGAGGACCGGAGAAGGAACTATGTTGCCAATACTTCTCCTCCGGCCACCATCGTTTATTGAATAATCAATACAAAACCTTATTAGCAGTGGTGGGCCAGTCTCCCAACCTACCTAACCTATACTGGCTGTACTGGTTATATTTTATACTTGTATTTTTAAATAATATTTATATAGTTCATGATACTTATTACTAATGAGATATAATAGGTGATTAAATTTTAAATAAATTATTAAACTTCAAGATATTGTAATTGAAAACTTGTAATAGTATGGAGTATGGACTGAATTCTAAAACATTTTAATTAAAAAGTAAACTATAAATTAATTTTTTATTTGTATTTTTTAATGAAATGTTTAAAACAAAAATGTGAACACATATTTTTTTCAATCAGTAGCAATCCTGGGTATTGAATTATTTGATTTTTACCTAATTTTCAAAGCAAAAAAGCGGTACATTTAATTCAAATTCATAATAACATAAGTTAAAATTAAAGAATATCTTATTTCAATTTGTAACATTCTTGTGCTAAATAAAAACTAATACCCGTATATGTAGAGTGAAAACAACTATATTCAGTTTTATGGTATTACATTTTTAATTTGTGATATGCAACCACAATATGAAATTCAATTGTAATTTTTTAGTAAATGATTGTTTAATCTAAAAATAAATTTCTGTTTGTAATGCAGCATTCAGCCACATTTTAATATAATATGGCAGTCTTGCAGTCATTTAAAAATTGTAAAAGGCCACAAGTCTAACCTTTTATTGGGATAACAATAGTATTTTATAATATTTGAAAAGTCACTTTGTAAAATATGTTTGAGTTTAAGCTTTTAGTTTCAAACACATAGGTTCTAGAACTCATTAAAATATCATAATTCAAACATCAAATTGTTTTCTCTCAAAATTAAACATTTTAAGCTGCTGTGACTGTTTTGTTCTAAAGATGTATGGTATGTAAATAATTAAAATTAAAATATAAATTATTTTCAGTGTTTGCATTTTCAATTGGTGATTGTTATCGAGTATAATATTTGAATTGTTAAAAGTGTTAACTTTTTATTTGGAAAATATAAAAATTATATAATGTTTACATACATTAAAATTTAAAACACATAAGAAATCAAATATTATAAAACAAAGATCACATAGCTGGATTCAGAAAACAATGCAGAGTTCATCAGATTCCCAACCTCATTTATTCCTAAAGAAATATAGAACTTAAGTGAAACTGTTAAATTGTTGAATGTCTATTTCTGTTTCTTGGCACTTAGTAAATCAACCATACCTACTATTAGAATTTGATCAAATTGAGTTAGTTTAATTATAATTTTTTTACAAAACTATATAAACGTGTAATAATCACAAAGTACAATATATTATGAGTCAGTGTCAACCTTCTAATCAGCAATAATTTCRTATAACATTTAGTATATAAGATCAAAATAAATTTAATTATATAAATGCATATGTATTAAATATAATACATAATAAATTATTAAGAAATATTCAGGTTTTTATTGTTATATAATGCATAAGTCAAAAACTAAATGTATTAAATAAAAAAAAATATTTTTTAAGATAATAAAAATAGTCAATTTTCCAATAATAACTATTACACAATTAATAGAAGTTATTATACTCAGACACTCAGTTATTTTATACTATATGAGTTTGTAAAAATTGTTTGAAATGGTTTAACAATAAAAACAATAGTCATCAATTGTAGCAAACAGGTTACATAACTTATAACATTAGCTATTTACAAATAAGTTTAGAATATGGGTCACTATTTTTGATAATTATTCTGTTTACATTAATTTACCTCTAATATGAAAAAAACTAATACATATTATTTAGTACTTGAACAATCACCAAAATGTAACCCATTCACAGCCAAAATGCTTTTTTATACAATAATTTTTTTAGTTAACGTTTCTTTTGTTTGGGAACTGAATAATTATGCTCCCACTGAGATGAAGTTTTATCGTGGCATATTGTGTAACCACCCATTGCTTTTACCTGAAACATAACATATAATTAATTATTTATAAAAACATAATAATTTTTATTCATAAAACAGAATTAGGTGCAATTTACAAATAATTATTTTATATATTTTGGTTATTTTAAATTAAGGAAAATATTATATAGAAATACTAATTTTTTTTATCTATTATTCAAAATATCAAGATGCTTACTTTTTTAAAAGATTTGTTTTTTCCATGAAGAAGAGGTGGTTTTAAATTATATTGAGTTTTCAATATTCTGGCTTTAACTAATTCTTTTTTAATATTTTTATGATATTTACATTCATCTAAAAGTAAATATATTTAGCATTTAAAATTGTACTACAACATTATTAATCAACTTACCACATCCAAAATTAATGTAGCCTCTATGTTCAAGATATGAATGTACCTGTCCAATTTCTTTTGCTGTACCACACTTTTTCATTTTTTGCTTAGCAAATGTTTTAGATACATAACATGGCTTATTTGCTTTCCATAAATCTAATATAGTATTTCTTACCTATATTAAGAATACAAATCATTTTCAAAAAGAGAAAATGTAATAATCCTACAATATAGATGAATTATTTAACTATAAAATTACTTTTAAATATTTTTTATCATCTTTTTTCCCAAATAAGTTTGGATGATAATATCTTTCATCTGCAGTTATAATATTACTTTCTACATGTCTTTCTTGGGTGGGTGCTGGTATGTGTTCAATATCTCTTGTAAAACCATGTGACAAAACTGATTGCCAATCCTCAACAACATTATTAATGGTCTCTCCATCCATGATATCAATTTCCGAATCAGAACTGGAATCATTACGAACCCTAACTATTTCTTCACCATTTGGTAGTACAAATACATCATTTTCTTTATATTTATTGAGAATTTCACGATATTTTGACTCATCGCAAACATCTTCTGACAGACGTTTTTTCAATTTCCTTGAATCATCTTTACGAACGCTCTACAACACAGAATAACAGACAAAGTTAACTACCACGTTTAGTCTGAAAATTGTTACACCTATAATACACGAACACTTACATGTTCAGAGTTCCAATCGTCTGCCAATTGAATCAACCATTGAGGACTAATTGGGTTATATGACCTAGGAACAAACGATTAAATAATCTCAATAATAAAAACTAATATCTTATTAAGAGTTTAAACCGCAATTTTTGCTTACGTTGAGTTGATTTTGTTCCACGGTTCATACAGGGATTCCAAATAATCGAAACTACATTCGGTGATCACGTCTATTATTTCGTCGTCCATCACATATAAATTCTGAATTTAAACAAAAAAACGAGTAGCTCTTTTCATTGACTTTTTAACAATCCAACATACGGACACTCGGGCAATTGAATATTGTCACTCGTCAGTGATCACTTCGACCGCAATTCGCAACGTCCAGGCAACGTGGACAACATATGTAGAGCGGTAAAAGGCGAGAGGGAATAGGAAAGGAAATGTTGTGTAGAGCGAAAATATTATGGACATGTGAATCTGTGAAGAGAATGAACCTAGTCCCGAAAGCGTAGCGAATATATTGCCGGTCGCGTTACTCACTTCATATTCATGATTCGTCCGCGACGGCGCGAGTGCGCGACCGTCGACTTATTTCGTGTAAGCGCATGCGCAGAAAATATTTTTAAATGAGAACAACCGCCATACTGTTTATTATTTTTTAACGGAAAATTTCGGTGGTAAACCAAACCGTAATCGGTTAACGGAAGCATCTTTATTCTTTGTCCCTTTGTATTTTTGTAGCTTGTCCGTCGTTTATCGTATCGGATGTTCGACTTATTATGTGTTTCGG